AAGGATCTTAGCTTCTTAAAGAACTCTTAATAAAGAAAGTTTTTTTGAAGAAAGCAATTCAAGTAGGGCTTGAAAGAAGCCAGGCGATCCGATCAGAAGATAAAGAAGACAGGCGAGAAAATAAGGGGCAACGGACTTTTTTAAAATCCGATCGGTATAAACATGATATTAATTTGTCTTTGTCCTTTCTTAAGAGGCTTCGGACGCTCCTTGTACTAAGCCCCAGGCATCCGGTTACCTTTGTGGATCTCCGCCGCCTGCTTTTGCGCTATTGTTAATTTATTTACGACGTATCTTCTCTTACGCAATTCCTGACTAGTCATAGTTTTTCCAAGGACCGAAATGAGAGGTTTCAGCTTTTCGGGGTATTTAACATAACTAATAATTCTATATTGAAAAAGTTTAAAAAATTCAAATATATATAAGGCCCCAAAAATTCAAAAAATTCAAATATATATATATANAATGTGATAGAGCTCAAGTTATTTAGAAAAATTCTTGAATTTCATAATAAATATGCAATATGTTAAAAAGAACTATTTAATGACGTTATTGACAGGTAAAAAAAATAAAATAAAAGTCTTTTGCAGTATTTTTAGAGTTGATATTTCTTACAAAGAGTAGATCAAGCCACTTTTTCAATTCAAAATAGACTTAAGCCGTTTCAAATGTATGATTAAATTTTGACATATTAGCAAAACTAAGATCATTAAATGATGAAAACTTATAAAAGTATCCTCTTAACCATGGATGTTAATACTGAAAAAGCTTTGGTGGTAGAGTTATAAGATACCTTCCGTGGTGAGAGCTAGCAAGTTGTCGAGTACATTGTCAAGATACGTAAAGATGGTATGTGATGACCCAAAAGGGTATCACTTGCTTTTAAATTGAATTCTGTATTTTCAAGGTCTTGAAAACCTCATTTAGCATCATCTCGATTTGCGTGCGCAGTCCGGGCGCGTAATCGGAAAGCTTATATGCGAAAATATGTGAAAAATGATAAATTTTGACTATAAAATGAATGAATTTGACTTCGATCAATGTTTTGGGTAAACGGACCCGGACTCTTGATTTGACGGTCCCGGAGGGTCCGCAGGAAAATATGGGACTTAGGCGTATGCCCGGAATTGAATTCCGAGGTCCCAAACCCGAGAAATGAATTTTTAAAGAAAATTATTTTCTGAAATTGTTTAAAGGAATTTGAAATGAATTTCGATTCGAACATGTTGGTATCAGGCCCGTATTTTGGTTTCGGCATCCGGTACAGGTCTTATATATGATTTAACATGATTCTGTGGAGTTTGGCAAGAAACGAAATCCGTTTGACGTGATCCGGACTGTAAATGCAAAGTTTGATGCTTTAAGAAGTTTTGAAATATTTCATTGATTTTGAGGTTTAATTCGTTGTTATTGAGGTTATTTTGGCGATTTGATCGCACGGATAAGTTCGTATGATGTTATTGAGTTAGTACGTATGTTTGGTTTTGAGCCCGAGTGCTCAGGTGTGTTTCGGAAGGTTTTTGGAACTCAAAAAGTTGCAGGTTTCTGCTGTTTAGTGCCCAGGGATTTTACTCTTCGCGTTCGCATGGTCCCTCTCGCAAACGCGTAAGGCAAATTTCCCATGAGCCAGATTTCTTCTTCGCGAACACGAAGCTCGAGATGCGAACGCGAGGCTGAGGGGAGAATACCCTTCGCGAATGCGTCCATGCACTCGCGAACGCGTAAGGTTAAGGCTTGAGGAGGGGTCACCATTTTGTGCATCGCGAACGCGACCACTGGCCCGCGAACACGTAGGCTTGAGGAGCTAAAGCTCCGCGAACGCGAGCCATCTTCCGCGAACGCGAAGATCTGTCAGACCTAACTCATCACGAACGCGATGACCAATTTCACCCAGTTATTTTAAGTTTCAAAAATAGAATGCCATACGGGATTTTCATTATTTTTCACAAACTTCATCTTTTCCACACCTATTGGGCGATTTTTGAAGAAGAACTTCACCATAGCTTTATAGGTATGTAATCCTAAGCTCGTTTTCTTCCATTTTTATCAACACTCACTAGATTTTTAGGCCTAAAGCATGTGATTAAGGGTAGAAAATTAGGGATTTGGGTAGAGTTAGGGCTTTTTGATTATTTGGGAATTTGACCTCGTTTTGGAGTCGGATTTTAAAACAAATTATATATTTGGGCTCATGGGTGAATGGGTGATCAGGTTTTAGTCTGAACCTCATGTTTTGACCAAGCGGGTCTGGGGTCGATTTTTGAATTTTTGGGAAGAATGATTAGAAAGCTATAATTAAGTATTGGAATTGGATTGTTTAGCATTTATTGATGTTATTAAGTCGATTATGTCTAGATACAATTGATTTGGAGCTGAATTCGAAAGGAAAGGCGGTGTTTGAGGATTGAGTTGGCCGTAGAAGTTCGAGGTAAGTGTTTGGTCTAACCTTAGCTTGAGGGATTAGGAGTTGTGTCCTATTTGCTATTTGCTTCTTGTTGAGTAGGACGTATAGGCATGGTGACGAGTATCTATACGTTGGTGTCAAGCATGATCGGGTGTCTTATATTGTGATTTTCACGACTTCGTTGTATTGTTCATGCCTTGGTGAAGATTTCTATTTGTTGTGTAAAGTTGTGGAAAGAATTGTGACCTATGAACATTGAGGAGCGTTGACTCCAGTTGTGAAGTGAATTATGAAGTAAAAGTGAGAAAGAGAAGAAATCATTATGTTGCCCCCTTGCCGGGCTATTATTGAGTTGTGGTTCTCTTGCATTGTGTTCTTAATTGATATTACGGGCGTTTACGTTGATGATTCTTTGTGTTAGGTGTTGTAACAAGCTTAGTTATAGCTGAGGTAGTTAGGTGTTGTAACAAGTTTGGTTATAGCTGAGGTAGTTAGGTGTTGTAACAAGTTTAGTTATAACTGAGGTAGTTAGGTGTTGTAATAAGTTTGGTTATAGTTGAGGTAGTTAGATGTTGTAACAAGTTTGGTTATAGCTGCGGTAGTTAGGCGTTGTAACAAGTTTAGTTATAACTGAGGTAGTTAGGTGTTGTAATAAGTTTGGTTATAGTTGAGGTAGTTAGATGTTGTAACAAGTTTGGTTATAGCTGCGGTAGTTAGGCGTTGTAACAAGTTTAGTTATAACTGAGGTAGTTAGGTGTTGTAATAAGTTTGGTTATAGTTGAGGTAGTTAGATGTTGTAACAAGTTTGGTTATAGTTGTTTCTCCCTTACCGGGATATTGTTTGTTGATATTATTGTTCCCTTACCGGGATTCCTTGTGATTATTGTTGGCTTGTATATGGGAGCGGGTGGTACGCCTACGACAAGATATAATGAAATGGGAGCGGGTGATACGCCTACCACAAGATATAATAAAATGGGAGCGGGTGGTATGCCAACCACGAGATAAATGAAATGGGAGCGGGTGGCACGCCTGCCACGAGATATAATGAAATGGGAGCGGTTGGCACGCCTGCCACGAGATACTGGAAATGGGATCGGGTTGCACGCCTGCAACAAGACGTGAAAAGAAAGTGAAATCTGCCTTTGTTTTTCCTATCCTTGTCAGTGGTTGGATTTTGATTCCTTTATAGTTCTCTTGATATTCTGGTTTTATCTGTTATTTCCCGAAGCATGTTTTCCCTCCCATTTTTACTTGTTTATTTCCGTATTTCATTTCCGCTATATATATTTGAAATGCACATGTTGATTTGGTAGTCTGGTCCTAGCCTCGTCACTACTTCGCCGAGGTTAGGCTGGGCACTTGCCAGCACCTGGGGTCGGTTGTGCTGATACTACACTCTGCACTCTTTTGTGCAGACTCCAGTGTTGTGGACTTCAGATCTCAGTGAGATTGCTGAATCTTATTCATCAGGCGACTCGAGGTAGCCCTACAGGCGTTCGTAGGCCTTGGCGTCTCCTTCTATCTACTTTCCTATTTCTACATGTATTTCAAGAGACATTGTTGTATTTAATTCTTTCAGACCTTTATTTGTAGAATTCTTAGACCGTCTGTAAAACTGTAACACCAGTTCTGGGTAGTCGAGACTCAAACAGTTGTAATAGATATTCATGTTCAGATGGCTTATTGTTTTCTTCTGCTTATGTTATATTCCGTCGTTTTAATGTTATTTCTTCGTAATTGTAAAAAAGAATAAGATTGGTAAAAAGGTAGATGGTTCAATAATTGGCTTGCCTAGCTCATATTAGTAGGCGCCATCACGACTCCCGAAGGTGAGAAATCCGGGTCGTGACATGGTCGATACACCATCTTTACAAAACAAAAAGAAAAAAAATTAAATAAAAACATATAAAATTTATTTATATAGTTTAAGGCCTTTTCTTAAGGTTTGGCTTTAGGCCACCAATATCATTGAGCCGCCCCTGGCTAATACCAGGCTGAGGAGCAAAACGAGGAATTTGCCTGATAAGGGACTCGCATTCGATTAGCTAGTGGTGAGGCAATAACTTATCAAGGCGATGATCAATAGCTGGTCCTAGAGGATAGTTAGCAATACTGGGATTGAGACACGACCCAAACTCCTACGAGAAACAGCAACGAAGAATTTTTTGCAACGGGCAAAAGCCTAATGGAGCAACGCCGCGAAGGTCCACGGGTCAGTGAACTTCTTTTCCCGGATTGTAACAGAATAAATGCATTAGTTTAGGTGAAAAATTGAGCAAAAGAAACGTACAACACATTAAAGATACATGGTGAAAATGTCCTAACTGCTTGTGCATTAAACATACTCCTAATTAAATATAGTGAGCACTAATACCGTACTTTAATACGTCTTAAAATGCTTAATTAATTAAATTAAATGAGCTAAACGAAAGTGCTAAGACGACAGTTTTCAATAATAAAATCTCTTGTATCCACATATATAAATACCAAACTAGCTCCCACTTCAAAATATCCCTCATATTTGCAAATCTGGTCTACAAAATCCCCCTTTAAAACATAGCCCACCAAAAAATCTTAATTCATACTTCTCCAATATAATAAATGGCTGGCCCTAGAGTTATATATTCAACTATAGTAACTATTTTATGCATAAAATTGTTGACTGCACCTATTTTTGCACAAGAATTTAATGCAGGGTTATTGCCAGGATTATTCCCAATAAATCCTGAAGAAATCAGAAAGTGTTTTCAAACAGTGACAGCAATTCCTCGTTGTATTGAAGAAATATTAACTTCTTTCTTAACTATTCAACTTAATTTGCTTGGTACTCAATGTTGCAAAGCAGCTTTGGAAATTGATGATAGTTGTTGGCCAAAGATTTTCCCTTTTAATCCTTTCTTTCCTCCTGATCTCAAGAACTTTTGCTACACTCAACCAGGAATTATACCTCCACCTCCGCCGTTATTTTGAATATTCAAGAACTCGTCAGATTAGTCGAATTAGTAGGTTCCGAATACATAAAAAAAATGTGGGAATATTTGATAGTTTTGGCTGGTCGTGAAGAGATGTGACATGTTGCTATTCGTCAAAAGTACTCTTGGGGTAATATATATGGCGTTATTGTTACCAATGTTTGTGTTACTTTCTTTTCTCTTTACTTTCAATATTACTAGTCTTAGGATACGCGCTTTGCGCGTGTACTTATATCAAGAGATACGCAATTTTAAAAATATCACATAATATATTTGAGTTATAAAACAAAAGTTTAAAAACGGTAAGTTCTTGAAAGCTCATTTAGCTAACTCAATGAAAAAAAGCTCGCTCCAACAAAAAATCCTTAGATGCCTTATTGTGATGTCAAAATTATTATCTTTTACCTAATATTGAAAACACGTAAATCACAAAAATATTTTTCAGATAAAACAAATTAAAATTTTAAATCTTTTGTTATTTTAGAGATTTGAAAATAAAGAGGTTGCCCTATATCATAGAAACAAATCCATAAGTAATGATGCAAAGCTAAAAATAATTAATGTTGAGTTAATATTTAACTAAAATAATTTGTTATATAAAAAATATAGGGAGCTATCATGTGTTGAAATGAATGTGAATAGAAACAAAAGTTAATTACAAAATTAATTCAATTAAGAATGCATTTTGTCTACTGCTATTTTATCATTATTAATTCAAGTTTATATTTTTATCAATTTGACTTTTAATATTACATAGTAACTATTTTGCTTTATTTTTTATATCGTCCATTATCAATGCTCTTTTATTAAAAATAAATTTATATAGGCTAAGAGTTTTCTCAACTTGAAAAATAAATTTACTTATATAATGAATTTGAAAAGAAATTTAATCGGATACTTTTAATTTCTAATTAGTTAATTAATATAAAAATTAATTTTTTGTTCTCAACCTTAAAGGGAATAATTCTTTTTGTTGATTCAAATTCATATTAGCTCATCCAAGCTTTAAATATTTAAATGTAACAACAATTTTATCCAAATATTTATAACATGAAAAATTCTAATACCCTTTAAAGTTTTAATTAATATTAATCTATCTAAAGTTAAATTTAGTTAGATATTTTTTGTGATATACTTAAGTACCTTAATATATGAGTTCGTACATTGTTCAAATAAGAATATATTCAATAGTCAAAACTTAGAGTTAATTTTAAAGTATTCAAATAATAATTTGTCTAATGTTAATTTATCTTCAAAGGATAAATTTATTGATCATTATTTGGCATAACATATTCTTGCTTTTATAATAGTAAGTAGTAAGTAGATGTTTGCAAAACAAAGACAACGAAAGAGGAATCAATTTAGATTTCGAAGAAGGATGGGATAGTTAAAAATTAACGCTCCAAAATAGTTGACTTTTTTACTATTTATTTAAGGTAAAATTTATTTTAAGTCCTAATTTTTAGGTATATAATTCAAATTAGAAAAGATTTGATAACTAAATTTCAACGGATTTTCAAGTCCTAATTATTAGGAAAATAATTAAATGATTATTTTGTCTAGGCTAAAATCTATTTTTAAAGTTGTGATGACCCAAAAGGTCATAATTTGTTTTAAAACGAAACTCTGTGTTCTGAGGCCTTGAAAACCTCATTTAGAGTCACCTCGATTTGCGTGCGCAGTCCGGGCGCGTAGCCGGAAAGCTTAAATATGATAATCTGTGAAAAACGATAAGTTTTGATTATAGAATGAGCTAATTTGACTTCGGTCAACGTTTTGGGTAAACGGACTCGGACCCGTGATTTGACGGTCCCGGAGGGTCCGTAGGAAAATATGGGACTTGGGCTTCCCGAAATCGAATTCCGAGGTCCCGAGCCCGAGAAATGAATTTTCAAAGAAAATTATTTTCTGGAATTGTTTAAAGAAATTTGAAATGAAATTTGATTAGAACATGATGATATCGGGCCCGTATTTTGGTTCCGGCGGCCGATACATGTCTATATACGATATAAGACATTTCTGTGGAATTTGGTGGAAAACGGATGTCATATGACGTGATTTGGACTTAAATTGCAAAGTTGATGTTTAAAGAAGTTTTGAGAAGATTTCATTGATCTCGAGATTTAATTTGATGTTCATGATGTTATTTTGATGATTTGATTACACGAATAAGTCTATAGGATGTGCTTAAGGTTTTGTGTGCACTTGGTTTGGAGTCCCGAGGGCTCGGGTGAGTTTCAGAATGTTTTTACACATAGGAAAAAGTTACAGATTCAGAGAAGTTGCAGGTCTCTGAAGCCAGGTCTCGCGGTCCGCAGTGGAAGCTTCACGACCGCGGTGGGATTTGTGCTGTCCGTGGCGAGCAAGGCCAAGCCTTCGCGGCCGTGCTCGATTTCTCGCGGTCCGCGGTCGAGCTCCGCGGTCGTAGTCTTTTTTATGCGGTCCGCGGAGAGGGTTTGAGAGGAGTATATTTAAACGGACTTTTCAGTTATTTTTCACTTTTCAAAACCCTAAAACATAAGAGACGATTTTTCAAACGCTCCTTCTTCTCCCAAAATATTAGTAAGTGATTTTTAACTTATTTCTTTCATTCCTTAACTTCTTTTAACAAGATTTCATCCTAGAATTTAAGGTTCTCATGGTGGAATTTGGAATTTTGGGTAAAACCTAAGAATATTGAAATTTGGGGATTGAGACCTCAAATTGAGGTCGGAATCCAAAACCAATTATATATCCGGGCTCGGGGGTAAATGAGTAATCGGGTTTTGGTCCGAATTTCAGGTTTGGATCAAGCGGGCCGGGGGTCAATTTATGACTTTTGGGGAAATCTTTATAAAACCTATTTTCATGCATTAGAATTAATTCATTTAGCATTTATTGATATCATTAAGTAAATTGTGGCTAGATACAAGCGAGTTGTTGGTGGAAACAAGAAGTAAAGCATTAGTTGAGGCTTGAATTGTATTTGTTGCATTGAGGTAAGTGTTTGGTCTAACCTTAGCTTGAGGGATTAGGAGTTGAGTCCTATTTGCTATGTGGTAATTGTTGAGTAAGACGTATAGGCATGGTGACGAGTATCTATACGTTGGTGTCTAGCATGACCGTAAGTCTTTAAATTGTGAATATCTTGATTTTGTCATATCTTTCATGCCTTGGTGATGATTTCTAATTGTTGTGGAAAGTTTATGGAAGGAATTGTAACCTTTGAACGTCGAGGAGCATTGACTCAAGTTATATTATGAATTGTGAAGTGTATGAGATGATTGAAACTTTTGGAGCATTGACTCAAGTTATATTATGAATCGTGAAAGTATATGAGATGATTGAACCCCTTGGAGCATTGGCTCAAGTGGTAAAGTGAGTTATGAAATAAAAGTGAAAGAAAGAGAAAGAGTTATTAAATTGTCCCCTTGCCGGGATATTATTGCCTTGTTGATTATCTCCCTCACCGGGATGTTGAGATTATTGATGTTGTTCCCTCGCCGAAATTTAATTGTTTAACTGTTGTTGCCTTTCCGGGATTTAAATTGTTTAACTATTGTTCCCTTACCGGGATCTCCATTATTATTTTGTTTATTCCCTTGCCCCTTTGCTTGTGATTGTTTTTTGGGTGAGGAAGAGTGTTAAAGCACGAAGGGTGATGCCGTGCATTGTTTGCTATTGTGAGGAAAGAGTGTAAAGCACGAAGGGTGATGTCGTGCCGTACGATGTACCATTCCGTACCGATTATCATTGATTATTTGGTGAGGAAAGAGAGTAAAAGCACGAAGGGTGGTGCCATGCACATCTTTATTATATGATTGATTTGGTGAGGACGAAAGTAAAAGCATGAAGGGTGATGCCCTGCACACTTTTATTATAAAATTGCTTTGGAGAGGACGAGAGTAAAAGCACAAAGGGTGATGCCATGCAAATTGTTGATTTCTTATTCTTTGTTGATATTCGAGTTATATTGTTTCTTTCCTTACTTGATGTTTTCTATTCGGAACTGTTATCTCCCACAACATGTTTCCCCTCCCCCATTGGCTGATTATTTTCTGTATTTCTTTTTCCGCCGTATATACATTTGAACTGCACAGGTTTATTTGGTAGTCTGGTCCTAGCCTCGTCACTACTTCGCCGAGGTTAGGCTAGACATTTACCCACACATGGGGTCGGTTATGCTGATACTACACTCTGCACTGTATGTAGATCCAGGAGCAGCTTTTGGACAGTAGTTGGAGGGCTTCCTTCAGTCCACTCGGAGACCCAAGGTAGACCTGCAGGCGTCCGCAGGCCCAGCGTCTCCCTCTATCTCTATTTCCTGCTTCTTTTCTTTTGCTCAGAAACAGTGTATTGTACTTATTCAAACCTTGTATGTAGTAACTCTTAGACATTCCGTGACATTGTGACACCAGGTTTTGGGTATTTGAAGTTTTAAAAGTTGTAATAGACGTAGCCTTAAGATATATAATTGTTGACTTCCGCTTATTTACTTAAAATTCCGTTGTTATTATGTTATCGCCTTGTGTTTGTTAAAATAAAGCAATATGAAAGTGTAGCAAGAAGTTAAGGTTTGGCTTGCCTAGCTCCCATTAGTAGGAGCCATCACGACTCACGAGGGTAGGAAATCCAGGTCGTGACAAGTTTGTATTAGAGCTCTATGTTACATAGGTCTCACAGTTCATAGACAAGGTTCGTAGAGTTTGAGGGATCGGTACAGAGACGTCTGTATTTATTTCCAGCGGCTAGAGAGTTAGGAAAAACTTCACATTTATTTTTTCCTATCGTGCGGTTTGGTTTCTTAATGCTAATTGAACTTCTACTCTGTTCTTTCGCAGATGGCGAGAACACACGCTTCCTCATCCTCCGCTCAGCAGCCCGAGCCCCCAGCGGCAACTCCCACGAGGGGCAGAGGGCGAGGCCGAGGCCGTGCTAGAGGCCGAGTAGGGGTAGATCTCAGTCCCGAGCAGCAGCCCTAGTGACGAAGCCTCAGGTTAATTTTGATGAGGAGGTTCCGGCTCCAGCAGTTTCGGTGGGCCCAACTCAGGTATCAGAGGGGTTTATTGCTACCCCAGTTGTTCAGGACGCCTGG